ATGTATTGAAGCTTACACATTAATGTTTCGTGTTTCTATGGGATTCCCACGTTGGAGAATGACTGGGTCTCCATTTCTTGTGCCTTCTTTTGGGCTCTTCTCTTTCTCTTTATTTTTCTGTCCTGTTCTGGTGCTTCATTTTTGTTTTTTTTTAATATATATTATTTTGTTGTCCCTTATGATTCAATTTGTTTTCTAATAGGAGACAGAGGCAGGTAAATCTGGGTGGTCAAGAAGTAGGGAGGACCTGGGATGACTAGAGGGAAGAGAAACTGTCATCTAATACATTGCATGAAAAAAAAATCTATTTTCAATAACGGCAGTAAATAAAACTCTTTGCTTAATCACAAAAATAAAATTATTAAACTAAACAGTAGAGAAGAATCATGTTTTCTTGAGATGTGTATTGATAGGTTTTGACAGTGGTGGTAAATTCGTGATACAATTTTCTTCTTTATTAATCTAGGATCTGACATATTTTTTCTCTTTAAACAACTCATTTAAAAGCCATACACCTTGGAGTATTTTATAAAACTAGATTACAATAAAATACTAGGAATAGATACATTTTTTGACTGTTTATTGCACTGGAATTCATGACTGTTGAAAAGTCTTGTGCCTGGGAATAGAAAGAAGGAAGTGCATTTCAAATAAGGTACTGAACTTGTGGGTTTTGTTTGTTTGTTTGTTTGGTTGGTTGGTTGGTTGGTTTGGTTTGGTTTTTTTTGGGGGGGTTGGTCTTTTTGAGAGAGAGAAATAGGGATCATCACTTCCTCTCATCTCACCAAAAAACTTCTGGCTATCTGTCGCCTTATAGAGGAAGGATCAACATGGCAGACACATAGCATTTTGCCATTTCACCAGACATTGCATGAACTTTCTCTTCTAGACTCTAAAATCATCATGAGTGAAACTGTCAAAAAGTTTGATTAACAACGGTGTCCTGCCTACATGATATGATAGTGTATTGGTGAAACAAAGCTTGTATGAGTGGCCAACCAATATCTAATTGTCCTTAAGACCAACTCCACAAGTTGGAAACCATACCCAACACTGCTTAAGCAACCAAGGACAGAGACTTTGATAGCTTAGAGATATAGTGTGAAACCTAATAGTACAGTTCTACGAAAATAGTGTAGCAAATGACTCCTGGTAACATTTTACTAAACTAAAGATCAGTATCTTCCTCAGCAATCATCAGAGAAGCTTGCTCCTGGAGCAGAAATGGAAACGAATAAAGAGACCCACAGAGAGACATTATGCAGAGAGTGAGAAACCTTAGGGTACTCAGTCCTAAACTGGTTGTCTCCATCAAATTTCTCCCTTCAAACCAAACTAAACTAAATCAAACCAAACCAAACCGAACCCAACACCAAACCAAACACCAAACCAAACCAAGCCAAACAGAACCAAACCAAACCAAACCAAACAAGACACAAAAATCACCTGAGAAAATGGAGGAAGTAAGAGCCTGAGGAGATAGAGGACATCATGAAAACAAGGCCCTCTAAACCAACAGGATTGACCTATATCTAAACTCACAGAGACTGGGGCACAATAAGTAGGGACTGCAAAGGTCTGCAGCAGTTTGTGTCATAGGGCTAAAAGGAGAAGTGGACAAAAGGCCTTATTGCAAACCCAGGAGTTATCTACAATTGGTAACCACTTGCAAATGAAAATTTAGTCTTCTCAAAGGGAGTCTCACTGGGGAAGCATCTAAGGGTAAACTGAATGCTCATCAGTACATTGTCAGCAGAAAGTTAATTCAACTGAATTGTTGGAGGTTTCTTATCTAGAGTTGTGATAAGGTTTTGTTGTTGTTGTTGTTGAATTTTATGTTATTTTTTTCATTTTCTATTTATCTGCAGGACTCTCTCTCTCTCTCTCTCTCTGTGTATGTGGTTTTGTGTGTATATATGTATGTATAAGTGTGTGTCCACTATGTGTGTGTATATATGTGTGTATATATATATATGTATATATATGCATATATATGATGTTTCCATAATGTATCAAATATATAAGTTATAATATGTAATACTTAACATAATATGTAATACCTAACATAATATGTAATACCTAACATAATATGTAATATATTTATATAATATATAACATGTAATGTGTAAAGTGTAGTATGTACTATGCACTTTATAATATGCAGTACGTAGTTTATAGTATAATGTGTAATGTATAAGGTATAATATATACATATATATTATGGGTTCCAACTTAATGTTTTCAGGGATTTCAGAGTGTGAACAAGTGGGTCTCTCCATCTATATCTGTTTCATTGGTTTTGTCTCAGGTACTTTTTCTTCTGGTGGTTCATTTTGTTCTATTCTTATGCATTAGCTTTTCTTTGTATTACATCTTGTTATATTTTGTTATGTTTATTATTATGTCTTAAATGTTTGTTTTCTAATGAGAGATTAAAAAGAAGATGGATTTGGATGGGGGAAGGTGGAGAGAAACTGAGAGTGTTAGAGGGAAGCAAAACATTAATTAGTATATATTATGTGAGAGAAAAATCAATTTTCAATAAAAATAAAACTCAGGGTTAAAAATAAAAGAACATATATAAAAAAAATCTATATTGAAATGACCCTCTATTTATGATGTAATTATTAGAAAGAATAATACAAGCATATGTAATAAAAAGTTAAATGTATTGAATTATTCTTTGACTCATACAGAGAGAAACCATTGAATCCAGGGAATCAAAGCTTTCCATTTCAAAATATGCTTAAGTTAATCTTAGAGCTCATGAAATTGATAGTCCTGTCTGTTTTCATTAAATATTTTTATGATTGATACTTTATTCAGCACCCCATATGTAAGAAAATAGGGTTTATATACAGTTCGTAGGCATAAAGAAGGGGCTCTGGCAAGGTTAATTGCCAGGTTAATTGCAAGGTTATTGGTTAATTTCTTACCATGCTAAACTCATAGTTATTATAGAAACCCTTTACAACACTACATCTTTGATGGTTACATGTAATAAAAATTGTGGTAGTAATTGCAATTGGGATATTTTGTTCTTATTTGGGGATTTTGTTTAGTGCTGGTGTTATTGTTGCATTTTGAGACAAGGCTTCATATAGCTCAGACCTGTGTCTAGAATCTACTGCCTATACCTCTACTGGAAATTCTGGAAATATGCACCACCACATGAGGTTTTTACACATACTTAAAAACATTTAACTACACATACCTACATATGGTCCAGATACCTACAAGAATCAAATCAGGTAGAGGATAAAGACATAGCAAATGGTTACTTCCAAAAGAAGTCTGTGTAGCAACTTGGCCACATATGGCGACACTGACTGTATTGTAGTAACATAGTAGGTACATTCTAGCTGTGAAGAGCAAAGTTAAATATTTTATTATTCCAAACACAATTAAAGAATTCATAGATTAAAAGGTAGATTATTCTCTACTTCAATAACTTCAATAATTGATATCTTCAATTAACAGTAGATCTTCAATCCACTTAATGGATCAGTTGAAAACTTCTTAGTGACTCTACTTTCCCATAAAAAGTTTGTCCTCAAAATCTTTTCACTGCTTCTTATTCTGACTCAAAGTCCTCTCTAATTTCCGCTGGTCTAAATAAGATTTATTTAGGTTTATTAATCTGTTACAAAGGAACTCCAGTAAGTTTTTAATAATAATTATCATTATCACTGATTAAAATTATATTGTTTGGTCCAGATGGAATTCTTTTCCTGGAAGCAAGAATGAGTTTGCATTGTGTGGATGTAATGTGTTTAGATGCAAGCAGGCAGATGGCAGAGTGACAGGCTACCACACACTAATGATATCAGTAGCTGTATCTCACTAACACTTGCTTTAAATAACTGTGTTGCCAAAAGAATACCCTTACTTTTCAAAAGATAACTAGACTTGAAAGCCTAAACATCATGTGATGTTGGACATTGTTCTTTTTACTTCCAAAAATAGACTCCCACGTAGTCTAAGGTTCAGGCAAAGTAATTGTCAGTCATGTCTCGTTTATCAGTGAGAGTTGTTGATCTTTGTAGGTTATCTTTGGCACTCTCGTTAGACAGGGACAACTGCTAAGTAGTAAGAGCTCTCAGTTAAATATTTAAAAGGACTGTGATATTTGGTGTAACTATTTTTAAGATGTAGTTTTCCTGGTTAAAGACGTAGAATTTTTAGTTCATGATATAGAATTAACAAAATTCTTAAGAATATCTCTTTAGAAAGGCTTTAGTAAAAGCACTTCATGGATAACTAATTTTAAAGAAAAATCAGTGGTACACTGAGGTTTGGAGTAAAATTCAGAAATAAGTTTCAAGGGAAGTCCTTTCATGTGGTGTCCTCAGTTAATATATTTCTTTTATGTCTTCCTGGGAATCTCTGTGTGGAACAGCTATGCCCACTAAGTCAAACACATATAGATGAAACTTTCACCTTAGTTCTTATAGGATTCCATCTGGAAAGTCAGATAACAACAATGTTTTAGAGCTATATATTAAAAAACTGACATTAAGCTTCCTAAAACTTTGCACTTTTTATCTCCATGATTTTACTTCTAATCTTGGTGGTTTTTGATGTGCTTGAATATATGACTGTGTTCTCATAGACCTCAGCTTCTTCCTTCAAACTATTGTTTCTTAAGTTTTAGTTTTAGTTGTGAGCTTCTGAAGTTACATAAAGTAGAATAGATTAATAAAACAGCAATGCCTAATAATCAAAGTGAAAGCATATAACTATTTGCTTGTTTAAAAGATGACATCTTTGTTTTCACCTTTTCACAAAAAATGTAAGACAATTTCATGTATCAGAACACTGTGCTTAAGTTTTGATACAAAAAACATTCATATAAATGAACATATTGGGGGAGAGGTTTATGTTTCAATTCTAACATGGCATAAAAGCCTCTTCCTGTACAAGAGTATTTCGTTAAGAAGATACAAGAGTGAAAAGATATAGTGAACTTAACCTTTCCCCTACTTCTTCCTTCTGTGCAGGTGGAAGATGCCATAAGTCTTGCACTGGCCGATGCTGGGGACCCACAGAAAATCACTGCCAGACCTGTAAGTGTGAAATAGTGAAAAGAAGAAAGTTTAAAACTGTCGATGTTTTATGATGGAATCTTCTCACAATTCTGATCACCTGTAATGTGAAATGAGTTTTGTTTCCATCCAAATAAGCTATTAATACACAGCTTTCTCTCTTTTTTTTCATTTAGATTAAGAGCCTTTATTTATTTTTTATTGCATATTTTATTTATTTACATTTCAGATGCCATCCCCTTTCCCCATTTTCCCTCCCAAGAAACACCCTAACCCATTCCCCATCCTCCGTTTTGCTTTTATACCATTGAATTACAGGCAAGTATGAAGGTCAGTTCTAGGTTTGGGAACAAGCAATACAATAGATGCAAATAGTCAAGGAAAAAGCAAGACAATAAACACAAATAGTGAAAAAACAAGCAAGGCAATAAATAAAATTCCATGAACACTCCTGTGATCACTGTTTCTAAGCACTTATCAGGATGACCAAAATACCTGAGCCAGCTTCCCTGCCCTAGCCCAAAGTCATTTTCATGTCTGAAGCCTACTTCCTTGTTCTAGCCTAATATTTAGATTCCTGCCTGAAATTCCTTCGTTGTTCTAGCCTAATGTCAGATTCCTTTTAAATGAAACAGTGCATAATTGCTTCTCTTAATTCTTTGTGGTTTCTTGGCTAATGACATCCATAGCACATTTGTCATGACATTATATATGACTTTGAGTTCTGTGTATCAGTAAAATTAGGAGATTTAAATACATAAAAATTTATATTAAATCAATTTCAAGTAAACTCGTGTTTAATTAAATTTCTTAAGTACTTATATTGTCATTCATGGATTACAAAAACAAAACAATATAAGGATTCTGTGCCTGTTTGCTCTGGGCCCCAAATGTGGTACATACATGTAGACTATATGACTAATGTAATTACCATGACTACTGTTACCAACAAAACTTACTCTTAGATTATGCTTCCTTGTAACATTTGATTTAATTGTGTGCATGTTGATATGTTCACATTAATGGAAACGGTAGTTTCTTGACTCAGTCTTTGACTATTATGAGCATTATACTGTCATCATTGATAAGACATTGGAAACAAAGTATACCATTGCAAAGGTCAGGGGCTTGGAAGTGAATTCTGTCCTTAAGGTCTTTGCTATGTATGTATGAAACCCTGGTTTGATCACCAGCCCTAAACACAAACACAATATTTTTAACATTCTTAAATTTCTACTATACTCAAAATATAACTGATATTTCATTAATCTTGTAAATAAATAATTTCTTTTATCTTTGCAAACAGAACTCTATGCAAATGATAAACTATACCCCCAATTCATTAAAATCAACATTAAAAAATAAAGCACAGGTTGGTAAGAGTATGAAATGCATACTTTTGATATCATAGAAGACAAAAATATTGAACATATAAAACAAGCAAATATTACACAATGTGAGTTGGGGAACATGTCATTAATACCATGAGTTTTACAACATATCCAATACAAACTATAGTATACAACTTGATTTTATATTTTACTTGTAAAATCTGTTTGATCTATACATTTATTCAAAGATGGATTATCTGACAAATGGATACAATGTTAAGTACTTCATATTATGATTCTCTATGAATTTTATGAATTTATCACTTTCTAGTATATGGATTTAGTTTTTAAAAATCTATGGCTTCTTGGATTGAGAGATTTGAGTATATTGGGGTTTTTTTTAGTTTTTGTTTTAGTTCTTAAGAAATCCATAAATCAGTACTGTACTTACATCATCTCTATTCTGCTTCCACTTTCCTCCAACTGCTCCTGTGTTTCAGAGACCTCCTTGAATTTATGACTTCTAAGTATTGTTTTATACATTTTATGTATATACACACACACACACACACACACACATATATATATATGACATTAATACACATATGTATATGTATATATCTGTAGCCTTTGCATGCATTTAGTGTTGCTTGTATATGTATTTACTTGAGGCTGATCTATTGAGGGCTTATTCTTAGAGAGGCTGACATTCTATCACTCAGCAGCCATTATCTGTAGCAATTTGTCTAGGATTGGTGTCTTGTGTATATTCCTTCACCCATGATAGCATGTCAGCTTGTGTTATTGACGTTGTACAGGTCTTGTATAGGCAACCATATTTTTGACATTTCATCAGTATATTTTTCCTACTATGCACAGAAGACACTACCTTGTAGAATACACCCCGAACTTCTGGCTTTTAGAGTTGTTCATCCCCCTTTTCTACAGTATTCTCTGAGTCTTCATTGTAATGGTCTTGTAAATTTATCAAATGAAACTAGACAACTCACAGCCAATTGTTGTTTGCATTTTACTGTTGTGGATATATAAAATGGTTTCTGGTGCAAAAAGAAGAAGTACCTTTGCTGGGTGAGAGCTACACTTACAAGTTGGTGTAGTACGTATTTAGAATGTAGGAATTATACTTAGGAAAATGGAAGTTGTAGAGTCACTTTTTTGTCCCTTGACCTTACCAGTCATGACAAAGTAGTTAGTTAGGATTCCAGTACTAGGCTTGAATTCCTTCCTAATAATGGCTTACATTCAATTAAATAGCTATTTGTTAATAAGTGCCATGATTATACCTTGAGGATTTATTGCCATGCTAGTCCTAGTTCTGACTTGGAGGTTTTTTCTGCTATTTAGGTCTTTTCTTTTCTTTCTTGAAGCGTGCATAACATCTTGCGTGCTATGGGAGACAATCCTTCACATACCTTACATACAATGGAAACTCAATTCCTTCAAATCTTGTGTCTGAAGTTTGTGGTGTCTTCAGCAATAGTGTTTTCATTTTCAAGTTCTGGGAGGCAGCCAAGAGCTACTCAATAGCCCTTATTATTTGGGGAGTCTCTTAAGCATTCTGAGCCAATAATTCAGAGGGAGATTTTTCATGCATGGCATTAGGGATTTTGTTAGGTAGTAGAGGCTATTGTGGAGAGCATTGTCAACCCAATAGGCATATCTTCATTTAAACTGTACACATAGACAGACGACAAACAGACAGACACACACACATATACACACATACACACGCATACACACAAACCCACACACACACACACACACACACACACACACACACACTCACTAAACATTTCCCCGTGTCTTTTACAAAAATCCTTAGTAATATTTCTATCTGCTGCCTCTGACTCCCTCTATAATGCTCTCTCTTCCTCTGTCTCAATTAAAGTCCCTCTTGATTTCATTACTTCCTTCTTCAACAATATGTATTCATTCTCCCCCTATATAGAGCTCCTTCAACCAGACCTTTACTGTCCATGCATATAACTTTGGTAGTATTAGTTCTGAGAAGTGGCATTTGTAGGATCACAGGCTTGTATACTTGTACACTGACAGAGTTCGCTAACACAGGATCACATATTTTGTAATGATTACTGCTGCCAGGGTAAGTATGTGCCAATGCATGTTTTCCTATTTCATGACAAAACAGTACATTTGCAATAGGTTTTAGATTTTATTAAATGATTAATATTTAAAAACAATCACTATCTTGTTGTAAATGTCAATGAGCTCACTTAATAGAAACAATATTCTATGTCAGGGATTTTTTTAACAAGAATTTTAAACCAGATTCTAAACTAAAGCTATTTTATTGTGGGAGGTACAGTGCTTGGAGACAGTATAAAATAATTGCAAACCTAACCATGTGGCGCTGGGTTGGTGTTGACCTGATATTAAAGATTATCAAGAATCAATGCCATATTTTGTGATAATGCGGCAGATAGACATGGAAGTCGACAAAACCCATAGATGCTCATATTGTCTTTTCACAACAAATGGAAACTCAGCACTACAGACATGGAAGGTCATACTGTGCTTTTGTAATGTAGGTAGTAAGGATCAAAGCTCAGGCCCATATGCTTGTACAGCACATATACTTACCCATGATGACATGGCCACATCCCTACTGAACTTTTTCAACGGGTTTTGCTATGTTGTATGTTCTAGTGTAGTGGGAAAGAGAGACCATACTAAGAAATGCACCACTCTAACAGTTTATACAGAAAATCTTAAAACACAAAATGATTTGATTCACCTATTATTTCTGCATAAAAATTAAGATCACGATCACTTCTCAGACTTTAGGCTAAGATCAAGTTTAGATATTAAGCTCACTATAACACTATAATACAAAATCCACATAATAGTCACCATATATATTCCACATTTTTAAAATTTTAAGTATATATATATATATATATATATATATATCCAAGTACAAATTTTAGTATACCATATACATTATCTTAGAATGTAATAGGTTATAAAAAGTTTTCATTTTAAATATTTTTAAGATAAATTTCTTGCAAATTAAGGTGTACAATGATCTTTTTCTATAAGGCAGAGGTTGCAATATTTACATAGCTGATATTGAGTTTCAGCCTCTGTTTTTGAGTCTGAAGATTGTTCTGTCTCCACACCATGTTGCAGAGGCCACTGCAATGGTGTGTTAGCTCAGAAAGCAGTCATGTGATGGAAGTCATAGTTGTTTTGCTTCCTGCCACATGTAAACAACTCCATTTAAATTTCAGTTCCAATGTCTATAAAATTGAAATGCTTATTCTCAATTCCAGAGGGTTGGTTTCTTTTTAGAAAGAAATTCTATTCAATGTTAAAGTTGGAATGCTTAAGCATTTTAGGGCATAGACTAAGGACCGAATGTGTGACAGTCAGTAGTATAGGAATTGAAGGAAGTATGTTAGAAGCAGTTTTCCGAGATAAGTGAGTGAAAGGGGTTGAGAGATAAACTCTACAGCTCAGTCTAACCTGGAGATGTCTACAGACATCTGTTGTCCTGAGCAAGGAATGAGAAACAGGACAGAGTGATGTGGGAGCAGTTTGCCCTTGCCTTTCATGCAGACCCTTCTCCTCTTCCCTTGGGTTACTTAACAGATAAACTACTTATTCATATTTATGGAGCAGAGCGAATCATATTTTGGAACTACTCAG